GGGGGAGGAGAAAGGAAAGGAGTGGTGGGGGTGAAAGCGGCCAGGTAACCGACTGACGTCAGTGGGCGTAGGGGGTGGGGGAGATCCAGACTCCCCACGGGCTCAGAGCGGGAGGCAGAGCGCCAGGTAGCGGGAGGCGGGGGCGGAGAAAGGAGACTGAGAGGGGAAGGGGGGTGAAAGCGAGGAAAACGAGGGGGCAGGAGGGGTGTACGCGCGCTCCCCCCTGGCCGGCTGAGATAGGTTGCCTGGGACCAGGACCGTGCCCTGGCCCTGCCGGGACTCAGCGCCTCCTCCCTTTCTACACCCCCCTCCCCCCCCCCCTTTCGCTCTTTCCTTTCCCACCCCCTGCCTCTGCTCGCCTCGTCCGCATTGTACCCTTTCAGCGAGGCGCACACTCGGGTTCCTTGAGCCCCGCAGTCTCGCAGCGGCGGCCCCCGGCCTCAACAAGTATCTTTGGAAGTCGAGCTGCTTTGATGCCTCGAGAAGCCGGGTCCACCGAGCTGATCAGACAGGCGGCTGTGCGAGAGGGGAAAATAGTAGCAGCGTAGAATTTAGATAATTATACAGGGAATGGCCATAACGATCTTTCACCTGTAGGGTGTCGGTCCAAAGATAGAGATGACTGTGACGACGAAAACGGTTGAAACAGGAGTGGGGGCAGAACTATAAGAGCGGCACAAAAGAGGCCGAGGGCTCAAAAATCATCACTATAATATTTGCCAATAATCTTTATACCCTAGGCGTGAGCCGTGAGCCACATTTATTTCATCCCTGGTATTACGCCCATTGATCCGAAATTTTGTCCGGTACACTTCTTTTTTATCAGCTCAGGCGATAGGTGGATATTTCAGAATAAAAGCAGTGTGTGGCCTAAGTAAACCCCTACTGATTTTGAGGTTTAGGAAAAATTACAATTAGCATCCGACTTCTACATTAAAAACGAGTCTTAGCAAAATTTGAGATTCACATTTCAAACAGCACATTTACTTCACTAAAAGAACAAGCTTTTCTGATTTTAAGTGAAGATTTTAATGATTTGTTGTAGTATCTTAAAAGCTTGCACGCTTAAACCTGTCGGTCTAATCGAAGCCGCCCGAAGTCAAATTCCAACCCGACGCGTCCTAACAACAATGTTCTATCCGCAACGTACGGAATACACAATGTTCTATCTCCAGCTTGCGGAAGACACAATGTCCTATCTGAAAAACGCGGGTTTCGGGATACCTCCAAAGAAATGCTTATTACTCCGTAACCGCTCGTTCTACTTCACTTTTTGCAGTCAATAATTAAACATTGAACCTTTCTTTCTGTGTGCGCAGATCGGACATTGTGTATTCCGCGCGCTGTAGATAGGACATTGTTGTTAGGACGTCTAGACGTTCAGGCTGCATTCTGACAAGCATGCGATATGACGGCAATCGCAGTCGCGCAAAAAATATAGCACAAAGTGTGTGACTATGGTATAATGGAGAGAACAGTGTGACATAGCCACGCTTCTCCACCCATGGAAAAAACAGTGTCTCATTTTTTTGGGGGGAAGGGAAAACTTTGAGGCTGGTTTGACAAAAACTCCCCATAGCTTTCGAGAAAATCTCCTCAAAGAATGTGGGATTTTTCCTCATTTTTTGAGAATATTCCTCAAAATCTGAGGTGAGAGCGGAGGACTCTTCCTCAAACGGAGTTCCTCAAAGTTTTCCCTTTCTCCCCCCAAAAATGAGACATTGGCTTACTGTGCCCGGCCAACGCTTGGCAACAAGTTGGTTGGCCGCCCGCTCAACAGGCGTCTCAGGCGCTTTTTGCGCCTGACAAATTGAATGCGTGTGTTTATCATTTTCTTTTGATTTTTTCGATAATAGTGACATAGATCAATGTGCTTTTAGTTCGTTCTTTTTGCCTGTTACGCGCAATGCTAAACAGTGTGTTCGGGCCACGACATAACAGATAGCATGCGGGTTTGCGTACTCGCACCACCGAGTACACCCACTCCAAACAGTGCGAGCTGCTGATACAGAGCATCATATGTGTTTAAAACGGGTGCGGATAACTGGCGTGGCTTGTTGTCCCACCCGGTTCTACCAGATGTGGCTGACTGTAACTTACCCTTCGCTTGTTATTTCTTCCCTAACGTGTCCTTCGCCGTTCTCGGTTTTTCTTCTACACTCACCCCGTTTCCCTTCAATCGCTCTTTCTCATTTCAGCCCTTGCTTTCAGTGCGTTTCTCTCTTGCCTCGCCTGAACTTGGTGTAGCTCATGCGGAGTGATGAATGCCTGCCATTTGTTCATGCCTTCTATACAGACAGGCCAGCCAGCCAGGCAAGACGCACGATACACTCACACCCCTTTTCTCTACCTTCTCCCTCTAGTTTTCCCTCATTTTTTCTCTCTGGTCTTTCCTTTTAAAATACATTTTCTGGCGTACTCA